AGCTTAGTTGATAGAATTCGATCAGAATTAAAAGACTAGACAAATACAGTACAGGCCAATACTGAACGATCAATCGGATGATCAAAGTGTAATCAATAAGACAGATTCTCTCGTCAGACATTGATTTATTTTATTGATAGATGCAGTTATGTTATCTCAATGGGAGCAAGGAGTCCCCGAATTCCCTGGCACGGCCGAGATTGGGGAATGTCTGCTCTCCCTCTCGAAATGCTCTCACATGGCCACTCGTATATAGCCTATGTCAAGGACGTCCTACTCACTGCCTTCTCGTGGCATTACTGTTGTTTACGAAATTGAGAGGACGAAAAGTGAATGGTGGTTGCTTTAACCAGGTTGGTGGACACGGAGAGTCCACCTAGGGGAGTTGGAGAACCCTGATTCCAAATCAATGGTGCACATGGGCTCCAGTATCCTGATGGAACAAACGGCGAATGAACCAGTTATTGGTGACCGGCTACCATGGGACTGCATCTCCTTGCGATGCTCCACTGCCTTGTGGGTTAGACCTTCAGGTCAAATGCTCGGGGTGTGTCCCCCTAGGGAAACCACCTGCTTCAGTTTGGGCACCTGGGTAGTATCACAGCCCTCACACAAATCAAATGTGATTTGTGAGGCGCATATTTATCTGGTGCTTCCTTGTACCAATATTTATGTGTTCAAATAAAATAAAATAAAAAGTTTATTATTTCAATGAGACTACTTAAATCGATTATACGTAGTTCAATTCATTATTTAAAACATTTTCGTATTGTGATTTAGAATAATATACATAAGCGAACAGGGTTTTTTCAGGTGAGCCATTCATTGACAAACGTCATAAGTCTTCCTTGAAATTTTAATTACAGTATAGAACTAGAAAGGAAAGCCCAGGACAGAGTGAGTTGGAGAATGCTGGTCGACAGCCTATACTACATTGGGAGTAACAGGCGTAAGTAAGTAACAAATTTTTAATTACTCCTCCAGGTTTCTGGTGTGGAGTTTAAAATTTCAAAGATATTTTACCATGAGTCAATATCAGTCTAATATTAGCCAAACCAGTAGGCATCAGCCATCTATTAAATGTCGTGCTGCTGACTGTACAGAGGTGTGACAGCAGTAAGGTGTTTCCTTCAAACAACCAGCATAACAGCGATGCTGCCTTCCCACAAGGAGGGTTGGGGTTAGAAAAGATCGACCCTAAAAATGCACGCCTCGACTTACCTCACGAATATCCGTCTCCGGAGGTAAGGTTCTAACAAGTACGGAACTAACACAAAAACTACCCACAAAAAGGTCGTGTGTGACCGACCTCAAGCATTTGTACTTTGGGCACTGAGGTCACGCTCTCAGGTCATTAAGACCACTTCTTACCCAATTTACTTTTCAGGTACCTTTAGAAGAACACTTCCACGGTGTGGGCAACCGGGAAATGATAACTACCCTCATACCTCTAACAGCACTCAAGACTGAAATGTTATTTAAAAAATAATCAGTAGTTCGAATACGTAACTTCCTGCCCAAATGAAATTCCTCTCATAAGATAATCCCAAAACCCACTACAAATAATCTTCATATTCAAATCTAATCATATTATATCCGTGCGAACTAATTCCATCGAAGATTTTATCCATAGATTGACACTAAATGGGAAGTCGAAAAATCACCATAAGATTATTAAACGTTACCCTCAGAAGTTACTATATAACAGTAAGCAACGTAACGAAGGTAAATGTTAGATTCGAGTGACATTCACATTTGGTGATTTCAACAAGTACTATTCATCAGCAGCATGTATCACAGATATTTCGTATAAATAGTCAAGTTATATTCCAGGTATACCAATAACTAATTCTATAACCAGTATTTTCTTAAAAATACTTTCGTACTGTTTGCACTGGTCTTATTTCCATGACAGTATTTTGTTTAAGTGGCTAATATAATACATATTAGAGTCATTGTGTTACCATAAAGAAAGCATTGAACTTGGTGAAAATTTAAGTGATGTTTGACTAGACGGTTTTGTCTGAACCTGCAGCCGTCGATTTATTGAGTAGATTCGGTATTCTACCTTTGAGATACAAAGGAATTGTACAAGCTCATCAGTAGTGATGTACGGCAAATCCTAATAGTACGAAATAGTTTGGCAGTGCTCGATGCAATTCATACATTTCAGTTTAAAAGGTAATCACTAGTTGAATATTTTCAACTGAGTCTTCAAAAGAGCACTAACACCTAGTTTATTATCCACTGGATTATGAGTTTACGAGGGCTTTCATCATATATATACATATATATCACCTTAGATTTTAAGGTCAGTACTGTCAGTTGCTTTCTACTCGTTCTTTCGCATTATATAAGGTGTTCGATTATTGTTGGGGATACTAAAGCCTCGGGCACTATGTTTAAGAATAAATCAGTTTTGAAATTCACACACTGATTTGAATGGAATTTGGTTGGCTTTCAATGTATTTACACGCACCAAGTTACTTTATTCTCAATACGTCCTCACTGTATTAATTAATCCACTGTGACTTTGTGTTGCTCACTTTGACAGGCTTGCAATTAATGATCAATTATTAATCGACACATGATTAGATTGACTCCAATTTAAATTAATTCTCCTGGAGTATTAATCAATACATCGTTCCTATAAGGTTTTTTACTCCCATAGTGGTGTGAAGGATTATCGTCGAAGTGTTGTGTACTAATCGTTGTCTATCTAGTTCACTTAGATCCAAATCGTTATTAATTCAGAAATACAAACTCCATCTACAACGACCGTTACCGGTATTCACTTATTTTGTCTCTTATCGTGTACATCTTGTTGGTTTCCTCTCACTGTTATAATTTAAGGAGTGACAATTTCAACTGACACGTATTCGCATCAGTCCTCATAATGTCTATGACTAAAATGTGGTTAACTGTTGAATTATATAAACGAGTTTGTATTGACTAATCTTTGAATGACTCAAATAAATTCTAAGTGATGTTTTCATTTCGCAACATAAATGACTATGAATTACTTACATGTCTTATCACATTTGTTTCGACTCTAGTGAGCTTTCACTTTAATAATCTTATACATGCTTCTTTTTTTAATAATTGAACTTCAATAAGCTGACGTACATAATATGTTAAGATAGCATCATGAAATGATATCAACTGGAAAACAACGGAAAGCCACACTACAGCAGGTGAATGTCTCGTTTTAGCTTTGGGTCCCTAAGCCTAAAGGTTTGAGATCTTGTGGTCGGTACGGTACCTCAGACTATTAAGCCATCATTCGGGATTTTATTTTGGATAAATTTGAGCTATCTCAAAAGTAAGACAACTATTACTAATGGTGTGGATGATTCTCAAGCTATGTGACGAATTTAATAAACTTGAAACTGCAAACCAATGGGTTCGCCGTGCAACATGAAGACAATGGGTTTAATCCAGTGTGATGAATATCCATTAGAGACGAGAAAACTGCCCACTAATCTGTAGTTTCCAATTGCCATTTAGATAACACTATTTCCTTAAATAGAAAGTACATTCAAAGTGAGCTAATCTTTACAAAACACTTGTACGAATATAATAAACAATCGCCATAATTCCATACTTTTTTTGCATTGTCAGTTGTCAGGGGCAATATAATTCCGTGGAAATTTGTATACTTAATAATCTTTAAGTAATTGCCTTGGATCCAGTTTTATATATTCCCCAGTCATTTATTTATCAGGTATAAATTCATGTACTCGGCTCCAAGTAACATTCTGTGAGTGACACAACCCTATTGCCTAAACCGGAGTGGGTTTCAAAAATGAGAATTAGTGGGTGAATGTTGGACGCCTTAACCACTAAGCCACTGCCTTCCAACCACTGAATAATCAGGAGAGCTACTAAGCCATATGCAGTTTCCTTTCATTCATCCTTAAAATAATGAAAAAAGTATTACAATAATATAGAAGACTCAACTTATTAGTTTCTCACTATTTGGGTACAACCAAAATAGATTAACAATAAATATATAACAACAGATATGTTTAACACCAAGAGTTTAGATTTACCGACTTCTCTACAAGGGCAGAACAATAGTATACAGAGTATTGATGGAGGCTACGATGATAGCTCACAAAATTAAATGTGATAGAGGGAAGAACACTCCTTCATAGTATTGTAAGGATTGTAGCTCAGGGGGGGTAATTATTGGATTTCTTCATCTGGAAGGTTTATTTAAGAAGTTTTAGTTGCCAATTTAAGCATTGCTATCACAGAATGTTTTAACGGTTCAATAATATTCGGTTTACGTAACGGTGAATATGGCCTCATATGAGTTATCCCAGAACTAGATATGTATGCAAGTAAATAAGCGCTTATATATATATGATGCAAAAGGCGCAACAAGAATTTCTATATGTTGGCTAAACAGGATTGTTTCACCAGATGTTACCGGCTTATGAGATGTTTTTAGCCACATAGTACGACTCTCGAACACCGATGGAAAGTCGTTATAAAACCACTGGATACATAATTAAGATGTAGAAGATAGTTTCTTATTACGATTGGTTGTATTACACTAATATAATATCATTAAGTGAAATCATCCATTTACTTCGGAAACTAACTTCACAGAAAGTTGCTCGATATTAAAGGTTGCAACTGCTGGACTTTAATTGTATGGTTAAAACGACAAATCTTAAGAAAACAATATTTAGTGACCAAACATGAAGTCTATAGCGATATCATGGATTTTGAGAGCATTTATACAGTCAAAGCTAGTTCAAACTGTATTAAAGCTATCTTAACAGCCAAAAACCACAAGAGAGATTAAATTAAATAATCAACTGTCACAATGTTATCTTGCGACAACACAAATTACTAGAGAGCTAACTACAAACACATATTTCAAGTTGATTAAAAATTCTAAGACATTTGTAATGAAACTTTAGTTGACAGAAAACAGAGCAAACTACACTATTTACAAAGTCATTATCTAAAGTGTTTCAAAACACATCTCAATCCAGTTTTCTGGGAGGTGGAGGCGACTGAATATTTAAAGATGACCGTAAATCTTCCAAATTGTCTTCCCAATGTTCTTCGAAGTAAACACACATTAGAAAACGCGCTTCTCTACCGGTACGAATGGCATACTCTAGATGACTTCTTACAAAACACTCCGTTTGCCTGAAAGAAACAACGAAAAAGTATATTTAACATGTACCCGGGGAAATAACCTGACTGATACAAATAAGTGGCGAAATTTATTTATTATTGATAGTAAACACTAACTTGGGTGCGAGGCGCAGAGAACCAAAGTGACCACCAGTTAAACACATAGGGAGAAGAGTTTGTATGCCTTCTACCCATTTAACAACGACTTCACCAAGCATGTCAGTAGGTTGACCAAGCAAAGTATGAACCAAATCATGTATTTCCCGATACCGCAGCATGACGTAAGACAAATCCGGGTCATCTACAAATCTAACATAGTGTCTTTTATCAGGTGAATAACCGTAAGGCTATGGTCAATGAAATTGTAGAGCCTACATATTTATCCAGAAACTTCGTATACGCTTTTCCAAACGTACCCTTAGGTAGCTTACGAAGGCTGTCTAAATCAACTGTGTTAGTACGAATAGTTGGCCGGTCACTAAAAGTCAATAAAGGAGCGAAGTATACCGTAATATGCGACAACCATCAGGATGGTTGAGCATTCTATTGAATATTTTGCGTAAAGCGAGTTCTCCACTAGTTTCTCCGAATGTGCTGAGGAGATCTGAAGGACAGAAGACTAAAGATTCCGTTACCAGCCCTTCTTGGGTTAATCAGACACCCAATTCCACTCCCAAGACTCAGAAGACATTTTTGTGAGAAAGTGGTTTTGATGTGACCAGGATAATTTTCGACATCACCAAGACTCTCGGAATTTAAGACACCTAATAAAATCTAGGAATATATTTTGTGGAGAATAAACTAGCTTTTAGTATGCTGTAAACGAAGAAAATAACGATTTATTGATAAAACTCTTCTGAGTATCAGGCTCATCAGCGACCTTCACAGTCAAACTGTTCCATAAATCTTCAAACACCAAAAGTTGATGCTCCGCTCTACCGTAATAAGGAACCGTTAACCTCTGAAAATCTATGTCTGTGTAATAGGACATAAATATTGCCAATGTAAAAGGCCGAGTTTTGCTTCGAAACTATGGTAAGCTTAAAGAACAAATGTCTGTGGATAAACTCGACGTTGTCAAGCAATTCAAGTTCATCGTAGTCAGTAATTACGGTTATGTTTTCGCCTACTTAGTTGCCAAATTGTGTGTATTTCGAATTAATTTCTACTATGGAGTTAACTGGAAGTACGACTGTTGTAAAGTTGTTGTTTTTCTTCCATCATGACTGACTGTCCTACATTTGGGTCCACCATAGGATGATGGAATAATGTTTTCTCGGTAGAAAACCTCATATTTTTACGTCAGCCTGCAAGAGCGAAAGATAGAGAAATACAAACTACAACATGGATTATGATGGTGAGAAAGTCTTGATAAAAGCAGTAGTGTCATCTAAACATTACTTACTTACTTACTTACTTACTTACGCCTGTTACCCCTCGTCGAGGAGCATAGGCCGCTCACCAGCATTCTCCATCCAACTCTGTCCTGAGCCTTCCTTTCCAGTTCTTTCCAGTTGCTATTCATCCTTTTCATATCGGCTTCTATTTCCCGGCGTAGTGTGTTCTTTGGCCTTCCTCTTTTCCGCTTCCCTTCCGGATTCCAAGTTTGAGTCGTGATGCACATTGTTGATTTCCTTAATGTATGTCCGATACACTTCCAAGGTCTTTTCCTTATTTCCTCTTCAGCTGGAAGCTGGTTTGTCCTCTCCCATAAAACGCTGTTGCTGATAGTATCCGGCCAATGGATGTTGAGTATTTTGCGTAGACAACTGTTTATAAATACTTGTACCTTCCTGATGATGGCCGTAGTAGTTCTCCACGTTTCAGCTCCATACAGTAGGACTGTCTTGACGTTCGTATTAAAGATTCTGACCTTGAAATTGGTTGAGAGTTGTTTTGAGTTCCATATGTTCTGCAATTGTAGAAATGCTGCCCTTGCTTTGCCAATCCTTGCCTTTACATCTGCATCCGATCCTCCTTGTTTATCAACGATGCTCCCCAGGTACTTGAATGTTTCCACCTCTTCCAGAGTTTCCCCATCAAGTGTGATTGGGTTGGTGTTCTTCGTGTTGTATTTGAGAATCTTGCTTTTTCCTTTGTGAATGTGGAGGCCTATCGATGCGGAGGCTGCTGCTACATTTGCTTTCTTCATCTGCATTTGTTCGTGTGTATGAGAGAGGAGGGCTAGGTCATCTGCGAAGTCCAAATCATTTAATTGATTCTGAGAAGTCCATTGTATTCCGTATTTCCCTTCAGATGTCGAATTCGTCATAATCCAGTCAATCACTAGAAGGAAAAGAAATGGGGAGAGTAGACAGCCTTGTCTGACTCCGGTCCTTACTGGAAATGCATCTGTCAGCTGTCCTCCATGCACCACTTTGCACTGTAATCCATCGTATGAGTTTTGGATAATGTTGACGATCTTCTGAGGAACTCCATAGTGTCGAAGAAGTTTCCACAATGTTCTCCTATCCACACTGTCAAACGCCTTCTCATAGTCGATGAAGTTGACGTATAGTGATGAGTTCCACTCAACTGATTGTTCAACGATGATCCGTAGTGTCGCAATCTGGTCTGTGCACGACCGATCCTTACGGAATCCAGCCTGATGATCCCTAAGTTCGGCGTCTACTGCGTCTTTCATCCGATTCAGCAGCACTCTGTTGAAAACTTTTCCTGGTACTGATAACAAACTGATGCCTCTGTAGTTCTCACATTGGCTCAGATCTCCTTTCTTTGGTATCTTGATGAGATATCCTTCTTTCCAGTCCGTTGGCACTTGTTCCTCTTCCCAAATCTTTTTGAATAGAAGGTGAAGCATGTTTGCAGTTATTTCAATGTCTGACTTCAGTGCTTCTGCTGGTATATTGTCAGGTCCTGCCGCCTTCCCACTTTTGATTTGTCTGATGGCCATCTTGACTTCTTCGATCGTTGGTGGAGTGACATCTATTGGAAGGTCAGTGTGGGCTGCTTCGATGTTCGGTGGATTCGATGGGGCTGGTCTATTCAGCAGTTCCTCAAAGTATTCTGCCCATCTTTTCCTCTGTTCCTGAATCTCAGTGATTGTCTTTCCTTCTTTGTCTTTGACTGGTCTCTCTGGTTTGCTATATCTCCCTGCCAATTTCTTCGTTGTATCATATAGTTGTTTCATATTCCATTCTCTTGCAGCTTTTTCCGCCGCCGTTGCTAGTTCTCCCATGTATTTCTGCTTGTCGGCTTTAATGCTTTTCTTCACTTCTCTGTTTGCTTCTGCGTAGTCTGCTTGTGCTTTGACTTTCTCTGCTCGTGTTCGGCTGTTGTTAATTGCTAGTTTCTTGTTCTTCCTTTCTTGAAGTTTGTCCAGGGTCCCCATAGAGATCCATTCCTTGTGATGGTGCTTCTTAGGACCAAGAACCTCCTGACACGTTGAAGCTAGTGCTTCTTTTATCCCTTTCCAGTTGTCCTCCAAAGTAGTTTCTTGTTCTTTCAGTAGATCCTGTAGAGCCTGGAACCTGTTGTTGAGAGTTATCTTGGATTCATGGAGCTTGTTAGTCCCTCGAAGGAAGGCTGTATTAAACCTTTGTAGTGCTGTTTGTCCAGTTGTCCAGTCTTTCTTTAGCTTCAGTCTCATCTTGGCCACAACCAGGTGGTGATCTGAAGCTATGTCAGCTCCTCTCCGGGTTCTCACATCTTCCATTGATCTTCGGAATTTTTTGTTGATACAGATGTGATCAATCTGGTTCTCTGTGGTGTGGTCCGGTGAGATCCATGTAGCTGTGTGTATGCGTTTGTGTGGGAATATTGTGCCGCCTATAACCAATTTGTTGAAAGCACATAGGTTTGCAAGTCTCTCCCCATTTTCATTTCTCTCTCCTAGTCCATGTCGTCCAATTACATCTTCATATCCTGTGTTGTCCACTCCAACTTTAGCATTTAGATCTCCCATAAGGATGGTGAGGTCCTTTCGTGAGCACTTCTCTATAATTGATTGCAGCCTTTCATAGAACTGATCTTTATCATCGTCGTTGCTATCATTGGTGGGTGCATAACATTGGATAACGTTCATTGTGATCCCTTGCTTCTTTGTTCTGAATGATGCTTTGATTATCCTGGGTCCATGAGATTCCCATCCCACAAGTGCATTTCGTGCTTCTCTGGACAGCATTAGAGCAACTCCCTGAGTGTGTGGCGCATTTTCCCCTTCGTGACCGGAGTACAGCAGCATCTCTCCCGTACCTAGCCTTTGTTGTCCAGTTTGTGTCCAATGGGTTTCGCTGATTCCGAGTACTACCAAGTTGTTTCTCCTCATTTCCATTGCTATTTGGCTGGTCTTTCCTGTCTCCCACATTGTCCGGACGTTCCATGTACCTATAAAAAGTGTTGCTCTGGTTGTTAGAAGGTGCATCGGTCTCGTGACTTCCGAAGAATTTCGGCTTTCATCAAGAGACGTCATTATTCCTTCAACTCCCAGGGCAGAGTTTAAATGGTTTGGATTATTTTTTCTGGTTAGCGTTTTTTTAGCGAGTTAGCTTTTCTACGGGATGGGGTCGCTAACCCCATGCCCAACCCTCCTCCTTTACCCGGGCTTGGGACCGGCAGTAACTCTAGAAGAGCTACAGGCGGAGTTATAGGAAATGTAATTCTGAATGTGACAGGTTACAGCTGTTCCATGTCTCGACTAGGACTTCCATAACTTCTGATACAGGTAGCTTACACTGTGTCGGAAAAATCAAAATTGTATCATCATTGTTTTATAACCTTCTGCTTCAAATATGATTTAAGTTGGAGAAAACACAGTCTAGTTGTAATTTGAATCAATCATAAGCTTCCGTGCCCTTTCATTCATTACAGTCAGTTGGAAATAAGGAAGAGAGACTAGGTATCAGTGCAGCTCACTGAAATCACAGGGGATATTCAGTGTTTTTGGACTGCTTCAATCAGCATAAAACATCCACCTTTTGCTTTTCAAAATTTCGAGTCAGCTAAACGCCTATATCGACTCTAAAATATAGTTCTGCACTCGTAATACTGGCTTTAACAACTAAAGGTGTTGGGAAATTTTCATTTTATCGACGTTTTCATATAATAGGAAAGTTGAATCTGGAAACGGGGTAATCCTATAAAGTAGGGTTGCTCTTCCTGAGAACTGGTGAAATGAAGGTACTGTAGTGGCTTTGTTTCGTTGATCAATCACCTTTTTAATCGTGATTACATAAATCTCAACGGTTTTTGAAATCATAGGGCTACGGGAAGCGGCAACGACAGTTTATTAGTCTGTAGTACAAACAACAAAGTTATC